TGACGAGGTAATTAGCTCACCATGGTAACGAGGCGCAGCCATGCGATTGGAGCAGCTGTCCTCCACATTAGGGTGTGTGTGTTTGTGTGTGTGTGTGTGTGTGTGTGGTGGGGGGGGGGGATTAGCAGGAAGGACACAGCTGCTAATTATAGAAGATAGCATCATGCTAATAGCGTAGCGGTTCAGAGAGAGGCTGCAGGACCAGCTGCTGCCTGGCTCAAGGGCAGAGGAGTCCATCCACGATGCACCAGCTAGTCCGTCAGAGAGAGGGGGGGTAAACGGTTAATTAAAGATATCTTACAAACTATGTTTCCTCAGAATTTATACTTCAGAGCTACTTTATTGTTGTAACTAGTCATTTTGTTGAGCGTTTTAGAGAGTTTAGAAGCAGCTTACTTATGCAGCAAACAAACTTCACTCAAAAGTATCCGGTTTCCTCGGGTTAAAGTTTGTTTCTCTGATTTAATAACTTAGTTTGCTCTGAATTCATGGCCTGGCTCAGTCGGTGATGAGAGTCTGACTCCTCAGGTGTTGGAGAGGATCAGAGGGGGGGGGGGGGGGGGGGGGCAGGAAGGGACTCAGCTCTGACTTTAATCTCCGACGTAAACTTGGCAGCGGTCAGGCAGCTGAAGCCTCTGGGCCGGGTCAGAGAGGAGGGACAGGTGAGCCGCCAGGGGCCAATCAGGCTTACACAATTCAACACAACAATCTCATTCTATGGAAAGAAAAATTCAAATAAAAAAAAAAACCCTGTGAGTTCCCATCTCAAAGTGCTGATTTTTTCTTCTCCTGGACATCATGGACAGATGGCCGGTCCATCACAAGACCACTCAGAGGCTCATGAGATGAGCAACCATACACACACACACACACACACACACCCAACATGATGTTTGTGGACTGTGGGAAGCTGGAGTGTCAGGAGAGCAGCCGCTGGGATTCAAACCGGCAACCCGGGGAGATGGGGCTCTTGTGGCCTCTGTCCACATGGGGTCAGTTCATGGAGTCATCTAAACACATGAAGCCTCCTCAGATAAAGGCCTGAATAACCTTTTTAGGTTTTTCAGAGATAGACCAAAGTAACTAACAAATATTTAACATATAATAATTATTGAAAAGGTAATTTAGGTCAAAAAGGTTATTACAACAGACTTTTTAAGCAATTTGATCAAAGGTGGCCAGCATCGTCATGATCTAGGTAAAAAAAAAGAAAAAAAAAATACTCCCAAAATGACATTATTTTAGGAAGGTGTTAAATAACAAACAGCATTTAGAATATAAAGTGTCTCCAACTCATCTTCATCATTATCTATGGATCAAAATCCAGAGGAAACACAGAGAAATCAGCCTGATGAACTGATACTCAGGTGTGTGTGTGTTCAGGAAATGCCAAGGAGGAAAGACATCAGCAGAACGATCATTCACAGGCGGAGAACACTTAGAAATCCAAACTCCTCCAAAAAGCCACGGGCTACACCTCAGACTCTGAAGGCCTCAGGTCAGAGATCCACAGAAACACCCGGGCTTTTTTGTACAGATGTTTTCTTATTGACAGTTTTCTTATTACAGATGTTTTCTTATTGACATCTCAAAGGGACAGAAGGCTTTTCACAGTTTGGGGACTTTTACCTGTAAATGCTGATGAGCTTTCTGGGGTTCTCTCCCAGAAAAAGACCAGCATGTCTGGCCTTTTTCCTGAGTCAGTTTGAGGCCTGGGAGTGCGACTCTCTGTGTCTGCTGAGTCAGCGGCGCCGTGGGGCTGTGAGGTGGCGATGTGGGTTAATCTGGACTCAGGTTTGGGTGGTTTCCACCCCCGCTGCTGCTCTGATGACAGCAGACTGATGGGATTCACCTCCAGCACATGGAAACTAACCTGTGAGAGCGTCTATTTTAGACTGGATGTAGTTCAGAGCTCGGTGGGGGGGTCATGGCCTTTTCTAACACACACACACACACACACACACACGCACACACAGGTAACCTGATCGAGTGTGACTTGCTTTGGAGATTACGGCTCCAAATTAATATCCACTTACAGTACAAATGTCAAACCACATGTACTGCATACTTAGCAACGCAGCAGCTGCTCTGACTGACATTTACCATTCTCCGTCAATTCCTCTCTACACTCTGTGTACATTTTTTTTAAAAATATTTCTTTATAGATTATTGTTTTTACCAACCCTACAAGAATATTTTGGATAAAGCTTGATTTTGGGTCCTTATTGCTCCTTCAGAGCCTCAAACATCCCAGTTTTTAGCATAATCACAGTTGTTATTGTTATGATTGTTAACAGTACTTTTGTTATTATTATAATGACTATTATTTTTCTCTCTTTCTCCCTCTGGACTGACTCCAGCCCAGACTCGGCTCATGGAGAAGACTTCTGGCAGACGGCTGCCCGGCCCTTCGTCACCTCCTCCGTGGGGACAGTAATGAGATTTCTTGCAGCATGTTCTGATCCTGATAGCATGAGAATCCTCCCCTGTCCAGCCTCCACCCCGTCCCAACACCTCCCTGCTAGTAGATGTAACTTCTGGCTTCTTTTTAAACTGTGATGACCCACTATTGAGGCCACTTCTAGCATTGCTTTGAATCCAAAAATGTTCCCTCAAGCTAAACTGTAAAGCCAGACATTTTGCAGGCCGCCATAATCCGGCGGCATCCCATTCTTTCCAACCCCGTCTCAATTTAAACCCACTCTAAATCCGTTCTAATCCCTCCGTCTAAACTTTAACCTCATTTCTCGGCCCGGTGTAACTCAATCTAAAGTTCCTACGGCCGCGCGCCGGCCGGCGCGCTCAGCTTTCCAAGCACACAAACACGAGACCAATGTCCAGCCATCTCGCACCATTCAGTCCGTTCTGACCCATTCTGAGCGCCCGTAACTCAGACTAACTGTCACTTACTGGAGCGCCGGAACATTTCACCTTCCTCGGACCCTAAATAGAAAAAGTGGCCGTGGAAAGTGTCTGTACCTGCCTCTGACCCGTCTGACTGTCCGCGGGATTGGACAGAGACTCCGGCAGGCACACACTGAGCTAGAGCGAGGGTCTCCGGGTTCAGGACAGATGGAAAACCATGTGCATGCGTGTGTGTGTGTGTGTGTGTGTGTGTGTGTGTGTGTGTGTTTCAGAGGGTGTCAGATTTTCTCAGGCCAGAGGTCAGTTTATTTCCAGCGCCTGTCTTCTCCCACACGCTCGCTCTGACCCCCCCCCCCCCCCCCCCCCCGGGGCCCCCCAAAAACCGGGAGCCTCCTCGCTTTTCCAGCCGATCAAAGCTGGACTCAAACTCAGAGGTTTCTACAAAAGATTCAGACCCTACATAATCTGCTTCCATCTAGCGTTTCAAAGGTGTCACTGACCGTTTGAATGCACCGTTACTCCCAAGGAATCTATGCTGTTATTTCTCCATCATGTCTTTGAGAAACCAGTGACCCGCGACTGTCAGCATCTTCCACTTCAAAGTAAAAAGATCTATACATGAGATATAAAAAAACAGGATGTATTTCTATAAGACAAAGTCCTTTGCTGTTAAAGCAGAAGAGGTGAAGAGGCAAGTTATTCCTGAGGTCCAAATGGATGTAGTCGGATATCCAAACTTAGGAAAACTGTAGAAAAGCAACCAAAGTGTCCATTTATTAGGATAACAAAACAAAATAGTTACTTCTTGATTTGTCTGATCACTTCAGCCTGTTTGTGGTGGTTGGTGTCTAATAGGTTTCTTGGGGAAATGCATGAATAAATACACAAATACACAAATAAATACACTAGTTTAAGTCTAATTACCACCCATGTCGATCTGTGAAATGTTATTACTAACTGAAGTAATTCAGCCAGAGATATCTTCCATTTCCATCCCGTTTAACTGACCTGAGCGCAGAGTTCTGGGTGTAGATACAGGAAACGTCCACTAGATGGCAGCAGAGACTTAACAGCAGGCCGCAAAGCGCCTTGAAATGAGCGTGCGTGGGGCGTGCTCGTACATTTAGCTCATGTCTGCAAAAATACCGGAACTTTCGGGCCAAACGACATCCCCAAAAAGTTTTAATCGGTGTCAGAGTTTCCGTAGTGCACTCATACAGGCGTGTGACCGGTGGACCGGAACAGGGTGAGTCCCACAGTGACACCTGGCGGCCATCAGAGGGACTGCAGCCCCCGCTGCTCTGCGCATGCGCACGAAAAGACTTCATCAATTAACTGGAACACTCAACAAAGTTTAATAAACAGATCAATGTTGTGTCATATTCAGGGTTATTATCAGTTAATTTATTTTATTGTTTAATCATTTTGTCTTTGTTTAACTTTAGGAGCCTCAAATTCAATCACATTTAATGAATACATACATTGCATATTGCAACATAATCTACATTATTTGTAGATTTATCTAAATATTGATATTAGTTGTGCAAGCCTCAGTTTGGAAAAAACTTTGTCAACTCTTTGGAGGGCTCCATTAACAAATCTAGATATTAAGTTAGTGTTCTTGTGTTTTATCTTGTATGTTGATGTCTCTGTGGTAGTGTCAGAGTTTCTATTCTTGCATGCTGTCAGTACACAAATGTCATGAAAACACAACTGTTTGTGTGTGTGTGTGTGTGTGTGTGTGCGCGCGTCTGTGTGTGTGTGTGTGTGTGGTTGCTGTTAACCCACTCAGCTTCCTTTTCAACAGGAAACAACACACAACTTCATGGAAATGCCACATTGTTTTAGTCAGACATGTTAATGAGCTGTGTGTGTGTGTGTGTGTTTTAGTGTGTGTTTTAGTGTGTATTTTAGTGTGTCTTTTATTGTGTTTAATGATGCTTCGCCCGTTGTCTTTTTTGCCGCCGTCAGCTTTTTCATCGATAACATGAAACCATTTGGGAAAAGCCTGAAACCTTTAGTCTGAATCATCGTTTTATGCTCGAACTGAAAGCTCACCGCAGCTTCTTCCCACAAAAAACATCTGTTTCACTTGATTAGATCTCACTCCTTCTTGGATAGTTCAGAATAAAATGCAAACATTAACACTTTATGGCATCTTTTTTTTTTCATCTTTGCAAATACTTATCAAACCAAAAAGGTTTCCTGTGGGAAAAACCAGGTGGATCCCAATAAAACTGGTTGGTACTTAACGCCAAGTCATGTTCTTTGTATCTTTTATTGATGTGTGACCAGATATGGATGAAGAACCCTCATTTCTGCCATTCTGTAAAAAGAAGAAGTGCCTGGGTGGAGTGAAAAACACAGGATTTTTTTTATATAACTGTTAAAACTTTGACGGATGAGACGTAACGGCTGCTTCATCACTGTCAGTTTTATCAGGTCTAAAAATATTTCTGTGTCATTCAGGTCATTTGCAAACAATAAAAAACTATGTTATTAATGGGTAGGTGTGTTTTTACAAGATTTTTAAGATGGGGCAGTTTGGACAAGTTATTGGTAAAGATGCAATTATTGTCTTCGTTCACAAGTTATTGTCATGTTGATGATGACTGTAAAATGGTGTCTACTTTGTAAGGCGCTTTGGATAAAAGCATCTAAATGCAGAAAAGGAAACAAACAAGTTCCAAAAAGTTCAAAAAGGCGTTCGACTGGGTTTGCGTTCCCCTCAGACTGTCCTGGTAGAGTTTCAGGCTTAATGACATTCATCATGTATCCAGCTCTCAGGTCTCTGCTCCGGCCTCCTGTCTCTCAGAGAACAGACTCTAAATCAGCTCTGCTGGTGTTCTGGTCTCTTCATGGACAAGCTGGACTCTGAGAACCAGGTTCTGGTCTCCTGATGGGGCCCAGAGTCAGAACTAAACCAAGTGGAGCTTAATTTCAGCTCCAGGCTCCTAAAATCTGGATCAGTCTTCCTGAAGACGTGAGACAGAACTCAGCTCTGGATGTTTAAATCCAGATGAAAACGCTTCTGGAAACTGAATCTATTGTATCTGCACCCTTCACTCCCTGCTTTAAATTCTCTGTGAAGCACTTTGAATAGTCTTGTACACATGCCGGGGTTCTCTCCCGCTTCCTGCCTCCATCCCAAAACATGCCCTGTTCCAAAGTGGCTCCCGATTGCTCGTTGGAGTGGTCGTGTTTAACTTCTGGCTGGAGGAAAAAACTCCACGGGGACAACCAGAGCTGCCACCCCCCAGCAGCTTCTTTCAGATCAGTCGATAGCTTTAGATGTTCATCGTTTTAATTCTGACTTTGCGTGTTTTTCTGTCTCGTTTTCTGTCCTCATAAGAACCTGTCTGTTGTGTTTGTGAGGTTCAGTGGCGGTGTCTGCCTTCTTTCTATCCACGGTGAGGACTCTTTAGATAAGTTAGGATTATTTTCCATGAACACCTATTTTTAGCTTTAATGGGAGCCCAGCTCTGGGCTTTGCTGGGAGTTTGAGGCGGGTTTAGCAGGTATTCTGGAGGCCTGGGGCAGAGTTTGGCAGCTGGAGGACCTGCAGGAGCTCCTGCTTCGTTATTGAGGCTGTTCCTTTGTGGCTTTCCAAGCTAGCGTACCGTTGCCTTCATTGTTTCTCATCTCTGGATTCCAAACTAAACCGGCTAACAACCAGGGTGGATTCACCCGCCTCCCTAATCGTCCTGCTGCCTAATGGAGCTAGCAGTGAGCTTCTTTCAGCTTCTTTTATCTTCAACCTGAGTGTGAGACACTCATTCATTCAGCGCTTCCCATCAAACACCATCTACTTTGTGGTTTCTTGTCCTCTCCCCGGGCTAACGTGAGCTAACGCGAGCTAACGTTAGCCCGGGCGTCTGGCAAAAACCTGCTGCACGAAATGTGCAACACAAATAAACTTGCTTTGCTAATGCATCTGCAGCAGGCTGACTCACACCCACGCCCACGCCCACACCGACTTTCAGAGCAACCATACACACAGGTGGTGGGGGGGGGGGGGGGGTGACTCCAGGGCCTCAGTGTCATCATGCTTTCCATCCCAGTCCTGCAGAAGCATTCCTCCCCCTCAGTTTTTCTAATAGCTCGCCCCCCTCCCTTACAGAAGGAGTCAACACCTCCATTGAACTTATGTATCATTGCTATCACACCTCTTTCACCACCCACAAACTCCTATTTCTGTGATCAGAATGGACACTTTTAACCCAGACAGTTCACATTTCTGCACTAGGGACCATGAACTACAACCATTTGCATGACAAATTGACCGAAAAAGACTTAACACTTATGCTAGCAGCCCTATGAGGCGCGTTTATTTTGTATGACAACAGAAACAAAAGACAATGCAAAGTTCCCCGTTTCAACATGATTTGAAAAGGGTAATTAATGGGTTTAAGCCGTGAACAGCAACGGTTCAAATCACCTGCAAAGAAGAACTGCTTTGGGATTAAATGCTTCTGTTATTTCTTATTTAGCTTTTTTTTATTGTGCATTCGAATAGTTTTTCGCTGTCATTTTCGAAAGCAAAAGCATCTAGATGAGAAAGTACATCGTGCATCCACTGCGCATGAGAAAAAAACAACCCGAATAAAAACAGTGCACCTGCTCTTTTACCCCCAGCCCTCTGTGGCATGGAAAAGTGTTGAGAGCTGCCTCTGGGGCTGTTGACTGACCACACACACACACACACACACACACACACACACACACACACACACAGCTCTGCCTCCCCGGCTCGGGGGGGGGGGGAAGCACAGGTCTGATTCTTAGAAGTCACTGCCTCACACACAAACACACTGAGACGATCAGGATGCATTGTGGGTAAGGGTAGCAGTTACTGTAAGTGAAGGCTACTAGATTTACCAGAAGTGATGTAGCAGGAAGTGACATCATCGCTGTGGGTTGCCGGGTTGGGGTCTGGTGCTGCAGAGCCAGCTGGAGGGGCTGCATGCACTTTTTCCATGCATGTAGTTTCCCATTTTCATGTTTTTCATCCGTACACCTTCAAGGAATAAATGAATGAACACTGATGTCCTCTATAGGCTGAGACTTTATGCAACAAGCAAAAAAATACCTTGCAACATGAAAATGATTTAGATTATTTTGATCATTTAGCAGTTGACAGAGTAATCTAATTTTTTCAAAAGAAGAGGGAAAAAATACACCCTGGACTTTTCCTTCTATTGCAAGATGTCAATAAAAAGAAAAAAAAAGTGTGAACAATACAAAAGCTAAAAATGAAGGTGAACCATCTTCCCACTGCAGAAAACTCCTCTGGTCCTCTTCTAGTGTAAAAATGCTGTAAAAACTCATTATTTATGGAGTAAAAACTGAGAGGGCTGCAATAAAACCATAATTTAATATGATTGGTATTTAAAACTTCAGAACTTCAGGAGAAAAGCTTTTTTTTGTGACTGGAGATTCTCCTTTTTGCCTTGCCTGTGTATTCAGCATAATTATCTGAATAAATATTATCCGTGGAAGTGGAAACCTATTGTCCTAAATTTGTGCAAAGACATAAAGATGTTAAGCGTTTCAATGAATCAGCCTCAAGATCACAAACTTGTGTTGACTCTTTACGAAAAGAGAAGAATCTGAAACGAAGGCAGAAAGTTTTTTGTCTTTTTTATTTTGCTTTCGTTTTCATGCAATCAATAAATACACATTAAATAATCAACGTCAGTTAAACTGCAGGATTCATTATTAAATTAACATATTAAATACACAAATAAATAAACATGTGGGTTTAAAGAAAAATCCCAGGGAAGTGTAGTACGTTTTACTACAGCAAAATACTTCACCAGTACACCTACATCTAGTTATTCTGAAGCTCTTCATCCTGTAAACATCATCGGTTGTTCTCTAAGGCACTACAGGAAAATCTAAAAGTCCAGGTTGACTTTGGTGTGGTCCATAAGGTCCTTAAATCTGACTTTGGTATCACCACATAGCAGGAAAAGCTTCAGTCTCAACTGTTACAATACTTTTTCTGAACATCTCAAGTTTGGAATTTCCAATTTGTTGCCAAGGCCAATCAGACTGCTCAGACTAATCTGGAGCCTGTCCTCCATCGTCCAATCAGAGTGAAGGTAGCTTCTCCTAAAACTGAAGTAACTGCAACATGTCTAAGTAGCTGAGTATTTCACCATCTGTGATTTTTTACAATAGATAAACACAAAAAAGTCAAGTTTTTCCAGTTGGTGTTGAGACCAGATTCTGGATCAAATCAAGCATCAAACCATGAACTACCAATAAAAATGACAGCTCTTTTATTCAGTATTAGGTTGCCATTTGTCTGCTAGTTAATAAATATTGATTCATGAATCATTTAAATACAAAGAAGAAACTATTAAAAAGGCACATTTCATTTTGGTTGCGCAACGTTTCTAATCTTGTGAGAAACGTTGTGTGTTCTAGCCTGAGCGGTGGGCTATGGCCTTCACTTGCCGCCTCCTCCTCTTCCTCCTCCTCCTCATGGTGTCGGCCAGCGAGCTGGCCTCATCGTAGAGCCAGGGCAGCTCGAACAACAGCTTCTGCTGGACCTTCAGGTTGTCCATCTGCGGGTGACAGACAGATGGAGATGTTCCTCATTGATGGAGACAGTGGAACTGGATCAGAAAAACCTTCTGTGTTTGACATTTATCTCTTAGCCCTGAACCAAGCTCCGTTTGTGGGGGCTCCACCTTGACCTGCTCTGAGGTCCACTATCCAGGCTTTCGCTCTCTAACTTTATTTTAGGGCCTCAGAAATGCACCAAATACCCCAAGGGCTTCCAGGAACTCCTTCAGTTTCCTGTAAAAACCTAACCCTGGAACTCGTGGAGGTTTGGCTGCATTATGGCCCAAAGAGAGCAACTCTCAAGGAACTTTTTGTATAAAACTGTAACTCAAAACTCTGTGCATTTAGTAGTGTTTTGATGTAAAAAGCTCCCAATATTATCAAACAGGTATCATTAACACAATATAATATTTGAAATGTTGAATAGGGCATACGCGGTAACGATAATGGATTGATGGAATATCCCAGTTATTATCAATAGTAAATAATCACAAAACATGTTTAAGACTGAAATCCCTTTTACAGTTGACATCAGTCCTGCTCTGAGTCTGTTTTAGGGCTAAACTTGGTACAAATCTTAGGTCCATACCTTAATCTCTTTGAGCTCCTGGAGTCTGTGCACGAGCTTCATCTGCTCCTGATAGTGGAACTTCTTCAGGTTCCTGATATTCTTCAGGATTTTGGTCAGATTCTCCCTGGTGTCCCCGGTGACCTCTGACCCTTTGGCGCCGGAGGCCGTGGGCGTGGCGGCGGGGGGTCGGGGAGCCGGGAGGTGGTTCAGCATTTTCTGGACCAGCTCGTCGTACGTGTCCAAAACGCCCCCCATGAACACCATCTTTGTCTGAGGGGATCCAGAAGAAGTGTGTGAGCTCCTGTGTGTGGACTTCTGCTTTTATTCACAGTGTGGATGAAACACTGTGATCTTTAAATGAACTTTTGAGGGTTGGCACAGAAGTATAAAAGCTTTTCAGACACAATTCAGAGTGAATCAAATTAAAATAGCAAAGATATTTTGTATTCTAAGAGTCGTTGGCAGGGTGTGATAAAATTGTGCCAGTCTGAAGGTGCTGAAAACCAGTCAGAGGAAAAACTCTGTGGTTTATCTCACATGGTTAACAGGAGCGTAGAGGAGAGAGTAGAGGGGAAAACCACTCTGACTCTTCAGCATATAATTCATATTCCTTCTCTAATTAAGAAGTTCCAAACTCATTTGGACGCAAGAACCAAGAATATCACGTTTGATTTTCACCTGGTCAGAATTCACTTTTGAAAAGTTTCCAGAAAAGCTAAAACAGTCTTAGTGTCATCCGTCTGCCAGACTGAAACTGACTGAGCACCGATGCTTTTCCACATGTATTAAAACATCTTAGTGGTCAATTGTGACCTAATTAGGTGACTCAGCAGAGATGAGTCAAAACCTGAGCTGGAAACTGTTCAAAACCGTCTGTCAGAACAACTTCACTGGAATTCCCACTCTCAACATAGCAGCTTCCACCCTGAATGACAGCATTAACACTTGAATTTTTCTTTTTAAATATTCACCCTGACTTTCATCATTTTTCTCTGCAAAGCTTATAATTAGCTCATTACTCATATTTATCTTATGTGGCACAATTCCACTGAAACCCACAGTCAGAGGGCTTGTTTCACCTGTTGGTAAGGGGGGGGGGGGCACAGGTTTTCTATTTCAGCTCTGAAAACGATCACATCTCCAATCTAACAAGGACTCTGCTTCCTGTTATAATATATAGGGGAAAGTTTGCCTCTTTGTAGTTTTCAAGTTGTTCTCTGCTCACTTTTTAACCTGAAACTGATCAAGATCTTATCAGGAAAACCACAGGAGACTTCACAAGTCTAGTTCAGATATTTGGTGTCGGTACTCGAAACCAGCCGAAAGGTGAATATGCCTCTTGGTTGGTGAATACTGAAAGTTTAATCAGAAGTGTAAGGATAGTTACTGAGGGCACATCCAGCTGGAAAAACACCCACAAAAAGCTCAACACAGTCCCAAATCTGAAACGGGCATGTACAGAATAGCTAGTTTTGCCATTCCTCTCATTACAAAGAAGGCTAGAAAAGGCCTGAAGTTCTGAAAAACCTGTTTTGAATGTTGAATTATTCCATTCAAATAGGAGCCCCTCCCAGAGGGATCGGCTGAGAGGTGGGGTACACTGCCTGGACAGGTCCCAGTCCATCACAGGGCCACACAGATACAAACACACCCACATTCACTCCGCAGGTTAACTTTAGAAAAAATGTAGAGATCCCTTAACCAGGCGAGATGTTTTTGGATGGGGGAGATAAGCCGAAAGACCTAGAAGGAACCCACATATACACGGGGAGAAAGGTCCCAGGGACCCCAAAAGACCCCCAAAGATTCAGACCAGGGACCCTAACAACCACACCACCAAATGATTCCTTAATTGGAAATGTGAAAATGTCTGTCTGTCGTTTCAGTGGATCATTGTGGAACTGCTCCGTGTGCTGTTTATCAGGGAGAAAAGGCTTGTTTTACCTAAATATTGTACCTAAAAACAGGTTTGATTCTGCTATTCTGTCTTCTTTAATATATATTCACTCAATGAATTTCACATCCTGCCAATGTAGGATCTAAATAACCACAACTGAAGTAAATGATTTAGCTTTGATTGGTCCAAATCTGAAAAGCCAGGGTTTTCGTTGTTGGCTGAACGTGGGAACAATTCCTGGAGCTTTCAAAGAAAACCAATCCATTATTTTGTTGGCTGAATTATGCAAGGACAAGCAGGCATTGAGGAATCCAATTACCCCCAAACGCCACAACTAAAGGTGTCAATGCTACTCCTGAAATGTGGAATATGTCCATAAGTGAGGTTTCTCCTTTATCAAACTCTGACCCCCAACAAATGAACCAATTGTTATGAAAAGGTTTCCTAATCACTTCCCATTTGGTTATGAGGAATAAGCAGCGCAGAGATGACTTACACTTATATCAATTTTGTCAGTGGTCAGTGGATCTCTGGAGACGACAGAATTTCCGGTAAATATGTCATCTTTTGACATATTCTGCAAAAGAAGACAGAAAAACAAGCAGAAAAAGGTTGAATTTTAACATTAATCAAGTTTTTCTTCTCTTCAAGCTCCATCTACACACACATATAATTCCAGGTTTAGTTTTAGATCCATGAATACAAATGACTTCTTAGCTGCCACATAATTTGTGTGGTGCTAAATTAGTGGAATGAAATTGATGCTTTCAAGGACCATTGGACAATGATGGTTATATATTCTTTTAAATTGACCATAACCTTTTGAAGAAAAAGGAAACATGTAAACATGTTCTGTGTTACATTCAAGTACTGTTCATCATATCAGCTTGAGAACCTGTGGCAAATCTTCCTGCTTTATTATTTAAAAAAAAGGAGAAATGGAACACAAGTGGCTAAAATAGAAAATATATCAATTTACTCTTCTTGCTCTTAAGGATAGTTTTAGAAGCAAAATAACATTTTCAGTGCAATTAAGACCACAGAGACGTTCCCGCACGATGAAGCTAACTTTAAACTTTTGAACATGAATATACCTTCATTGACACCAAATTACTACAAAATTATATCTTATACAAATATTTATACCAAAAAACATCTGAGTGTTGTTAAAAAAGAAGCCAGATTAGCCGTTTAACTACCCGATTGAGGATGAGAAAGATGTGTTTGCTCACGTGTGTTTGTGGTCAGAGAAAAAGGAAATTAGAGCGCCATCACCAGCGTTTGAAGGCAACACGAACAGCTAAAGCCCCGGCAGAACGGCCCATACTCACATAGTGCTCCAGGAGGTTCTGGATGGTTGCGTTCATCTCCTCCGTGACATACGAGCCGCTGACCTGCTGGACTGACGTCCACAGAGCCAGGCAGACCACTGCCCTCACCACAGTTGACCCAACATCTCCACATCTGGGGCCCCTGTGTAGCCTCAAAGCCATCGTAGTCACTCCTGCTGGTTTCTGGTTTGTGATCCCGGTCAAAGGCTGGTTGGGGAGGTAGGCAGGATCCGGGTGGACGGTGGTGTCTCTCTCGCCCTGAAGTTGTCTCGAACTGTTCGACTTGCCACCACGGCAGCCGTAGATATATGGGGCTCTCGGAGAAAACGTGTGTGATGCAGCTTGCAGCGATGATCTAGGTGTGAAAACTGTGGTTTTAGGTTTCCTTTAAATCAAACTTCATAGAAGTGATAAAAAAGGGTCTCCCACTCATGCATGTCAAACACAAATTATGACATGACTCCACCCAGAGGTTGCATGGAATTTATGAATTTACTGGTCAAACTGGGGGCTCTAATAATCTCCCCTGCATGCACCTTTGTGGAGGATGCTGATGTTGGAGAGGAAACCGTTGGAAAACATTCAAACTGAGATGGTGACATTGCACCTTGCGTCAGATATCGTTAGATCCCCTAAAAGTGCGATGGAAAACATTACAAACGCTAAGTAACCTGGTGCATAAAACGTTTACCCGAACACTTGATAAGGTGCTTTAAAATCAAATAAAGATCACTGAGCTGCAATCCCATGCAGAAAGGCCCACAATCATTGTTTTAAATTAGCCTAAACAATCCTAAACATCAGAAAACATGGACATTGATAGCTAGAACCTTTACACTATTTGCATTTATCATAAAGTCTCTTATAAAGCAATTAGAAGCCAATAAAAGTCCATTAATCTGTCACAATCTTTACCTCATTTGCCTGTATAAAGTTGAAGTGATTATTTGTGGATGACATTATCAATCTCTCTAATGGCTATAGAAGAATTTGATCACCTTCTTCTTTAAAAAACGGGTTTGTACGCAGCCCTCTGAAGCCCCCCTCCACTGAGCACCTTGGTTCTTGTCTTTTCCAACTTTCTGTTATAGATGCTGTGTTGGGAAATATTGTCCTATCTGTGAGCTAGTTTCCAGTTTCGGTCCAGCTTTAGCTCTAAGACAGATGGCCTTGTATCTGACTGAATAATTGGGTATCCAGATAGGTACAATAGAGGTAAACATCTTTGTATAAAGTAGAATTTTTTAAAATACTCGAAAAACGTGAGGCACTTCAATGCAACACCTGGCTCTTAATTGGGTCACCAGCAAGCGGTTTTCCTCAAATAAAGAGGGCGGTTCCAAACTTTC